AACATCCAGCGCCAATCACCATCAACGGGAGAGATTTGAAAGAGGTTACTTCATTCACTTATCTAGGGAACATTGTCTCAACTACACGAGGAACGGACGAGGATGGCAAATCGAGAATCGGGAAGGCGAGAAACACATTGATCAACCTGAAACCAATCTGGAAATCTTCCGCTGTCACTCAGCAACACTCAACAACAAAATTCCGATTTTCAATACAAACGTCAAGTCAGTCAGTTATTCTATACGTACGGATGAGAAACTTGGCGGTGGGTCACAAAGAATATTTCCAACAGTCTGTTGCAGACCTTTATCAACAACAACAACAACAACTGTCTTCGCTAGCATCATACTGAAGATCAGATGGCCAGAAAGAATCACCAATAAGAAACTATGAGAGCAAACAAACAAAGCAAGAACCAGTCGCCCAACAAATATGCTGGAGAAAGTGGAGATGGATTGGACACTCACTGAGGAGGCCGTTGGGTGACATTTCGTGTCAGGCCACTGCTCCAGTGGAACCTGAAAGGGAAGCGGCGAGTAGTGGGACGTCGAAGGGTGACATGGAGGATATCGTGAGAAGAAGAGTTGAAACAGTATGGACTAACATGGATGCAAGTGAAAAGTACAGCAGAAGACAGAAGCAAGTGGAGACGTGCAGTTGAAGCCCTATGTTCCACTAGGAACCCAAGAGAACTATAATAATAATAGTACAGAGTAGGAATTGACTCTGTGTGTGTGTGTGTGCGCGTGTGACAAGACACTAGGTGTGTTTTGTTATAAATTATGCATGACAGACTGTAGGCACAATAAATTATGCTTCCACTGAGTGTCATCCAGCAGATAAATGTAACCCCCCACACCACCACCAGAATAGAGAATCCCACCTTGCCACCTTATCAGTGTGTGTGTGTGTCACACAACATTTATGGAACACAAAATAATTGAGCCAGCAAAGGATATCCTTCTCGATAAATTCCTCCTCCTCTGGCTCTAGAATTATATCTATATATGCATATGTTTATATACATAGAATATTCTAGATTAGTAGTCAATAACAATATTAGTGTGTGCTTTTTAAATAGCAATATCGATTTGTAAAGTAACATCACAATGGAATTACCACAGTTCATTAAAGATGCTTAAATTATAATAATAATAAAGATATAATAGCGAATAGAATATCAACTGAAATTAGGAAAATTCCAAAAACATTCAGGATCGATCATTCGAACCTAGATGGTCAAGCGGGTAAGGATAATATCTGAACCAACCAACTTCTTTTCGATGCACAAATTAGGCTTGTTAATCTTGATCCCAACACGGCCAGCCAGCCAGCCTCAGTAATATATAGCAGTCGAACTGTTTAGGCGAAATTGAGATTTGTTGGTGGGATGCGGTAAATGCCCTGGACAGCCACCTTGTTAACATCAATCAATCTTGTGTTGTGTATCCACAAGAAGGTTAGTGAGATAGAATAGCGCTGAGAATAGATTTTGTTTGTCCTTTACTTAACCAACCAACCACTGTGCAGGGTGGGTGATGTTCGGAAATTCGACGAGAAACACGCCTAAGTGTACGGCCTATTCAAGTAACTGGCTCACTCACTCCACAGGAGCAGTTGAATTGGTAGATACATACACACATGGAGGAGGAGGCGAAATCAGGCAGTTTGTGTTTTACTCCCGAACGAATGCAAGAGAGAGGAGTGGTTTTGAAGACATAGCAGCAGGGAATGCCGTTTTTACCGAACAATATTGTTTTCAATTACATCTCATCAGGTTTAACTCTAATATACCTACATAACTTTATAAATAAAAATTCAAATATAAACCAATCATCATGGTGTTTTGTCTATAGGATAATACAGTGGTGAATATAAATTGTGCAATAAGTCATGATAGTAGTAATGATAATAATAATTATAGTAATAATAGAAATGGTCTTATCAATAATAAGGATGAAAAAGTGAGGCAATCTGTGATAACACGAATACTGATGAAAAACAGCAAGATTAAACAAACAAATGTTCAGGTAGTTGATAAAGGCTAGTAAAAACAAATGAACCGATTAAGTAATGCTGGATTGTAAGGGAAGTAAATGAAACACGTTTTTAATGAAGATGTGATAAGATTAAGGGATAAGAGAGGGGTTGAAAATATAAGTAAGTAAGGGGTAGTGTAGAAGTCATCAGTTGGTTATGTCTTAATAGGCCAACAAAGGAGGAAATGGCTGTACGAATTTTGAATGCATACTTTAGCTAAGTCGAAATTCGATCGCTTCAGCTGTGTGCAGTAGACGAATACGAAGTCTATTGGAAGTATTCGGGGATACGAGATTATTAATGACATACCAATTAAATGTGACAAAATTGAGCTACGGATTGTTTTTGTCTGTCCTTCGTGAAACCACGATGATGGGAGATGTTCACTAATACGCTGGTTAAGCTGTCTAGTATTACGCCCTATATAACTGTCATCGCAGGTGCAGTTGAATGGATAAATGCACACAGATGTGGCAAAACTATCTAGCTACCTATCCCTCGTTTGCGTCCCAATCATTCGTTGGCTAGAGAATGACAAACACATAGGTACGTTGCGTAAAACGTTCTTCGCATACTCCTGGAAAGTCTCTGAAATAAAATCTCACTTGACAGACAAGTCACCATTAAATTGTAACTTAATAAGCAGAGGTTTTTTACGTGCAGTCATAGTCTCAGGTTTTCTCTCTGATGTTTTCATATGTTTCTTTATGAAACTTCTCGGATAACCAGCTCATCTCCATCAAGGAATCGTGAATATATTCAAATTCCTTTTATAAGAAGTCATTCGTACATATCTTTCTTGCTCTGCTCGTAAGATATTTAACAACATTTCTTTTATATTTAATGGGCACGTAACAAAGGAAGGAAGTGTGTGTATTGCCGTGTGAATGTGCTTTTTCGATACACGCTTCTCCCAAGTGACCCATCTTCTCGCCTACTCAGTAAGACATCCAGAAAATGTAGTTTACTATCCCGCTCCTCTTCACAAGTAAAGGTAAGCAAAGGGTGGACGTTGTTGAATTTCATCAACAATTCGTCTATGTTTACATTCCCATCAGCTAAGATAAATGAATGTATCATCGACATATCGGTAATATATATCAAACTCCTTGATGATGTCTTTCAATTTCTCGTTTTCAAGTTTTTTGCGAGGAAGAAGTCAGCTAATATTGGGCCTAATGCTGAACCACCCATACCTATTCCATCTACTTGTCCGTAGTATGAATTATTGAAGACAAAGTGCACATTCATTCCCCATTTAAGGGAATTCCTAAGTCCAATTAGCTTTCGGTGTGATTTCTTGACAAATGTAATCTACTGTTTTCCCATAAGTGGTACATTCGTGAATAGTGATGATACATTCATGGATAACATGCGTTTATCCCTCACATTAGTCTCGGATATTTTAGAAATAAAGTCGAAGACATCACTAATTCTATGTTGCACGATTTCTCTGTGCAAAAAGGTCCCAGAATCTTCACTAACCACTTGGCTGTTCCGTGAAATGGAGAGTTATACATGCCTAAAACAGGGCGAAGAGGAAGACCCGGTTTGTGTACTTTGGGTAAACCGTAAAGACGTGGAGTATTGGTACCCATTGGTTATCACAGATTGCCTCACTTTTCATCCTTATTATTGATAAAACCATTATTATTATTATTATTATTATCATTACTACTATTATGACTAATTGCACAATTTATATTCACCATCTTATTATCCTATAGACAAAACACCATGATTTCACGGAATATACACATTGGGTCATAGGAGTTATTAAAAAGACAATTGCAGCGAAGAAAATTTTCTTTTCGACGAAGTCACCGTCATCTAGGCTGTACATTCGTGTATTTATATCAAATGGATAGGAAAGTTCCAGAATAATTTCCGGTTAAGGGTCAAATTAATAAAAATTACAATTAGGAATTAGAATGCCATAATAAACAGGGTGGTGGGACGGATAAAACTCGAACAAAGTAGCATTATAATAACTAAGAAGATTGACATTGTGCAATTGGGGGTTAGAAATGTAAAAATAACAAAATATACAGGATGTTTGGATAAGAAACTAGTGTGATGAATAATTGTTTGTGCAATCAGGGATTAAATATGTAGAAATAGTAAAATGACAAAATAAACAGGAAGTTTAGATAAGAAAGGCGATGAGATTGTCATTACTAAAAAGATTTTACCTGTTTATGATGGCCATGGCAGGGACAGTGGTTGGACGTATTTCTTTTGGATACAAAGAGTGGGTTTGAGTTTTTGGATAGCTAACGCCTCAGCTATGCCCAGACGTCTTAATTTAACTCCCTTTGATGGGTTTCATCGAATCTTGTATATTATTTTAAAGGATTTTTCGAAAGGCACATACATATTTAATCCCTGATTGCATAAACAATTATTCATCACACTAGTTTTTTATCCAAACATCCTGTCTATTTTTGTTATTTCTACATTTCTAACCCCTAATTGCACAATGTCAATCTTCTTAGTTATTATAATGCTACTTTGTTTGAGTTTTATCCGTCCCCCTGTTTATTATGGCATACTAATTCCTAATTGTAATTTTTATTAATTTGACCCTCAGCCGGAAATTATTCTGGAACTTTCCCATCCATTTGATATAAATGCACGAATGTACAGCCTATATGATGACTTCGTCGAAAAGAAAATTTTCTTCCTCGCTGCAATTGTCTTTTTAATAACACCATAATTTGTTTATAATTGAATTTTTATTTGTAAAGTAGTTATGTAGGTGTATATTAGAGTTAAGCCTGTGTAGAGATCTAATTGAAAGCACAATATTGTGCACCAATGACAGTATAAATTTCCAATAGCATACGAAGCAGCATTTCTGAATACGAGAACTACATCTTTATCCACTTGACAACGCTTGAAGTCAAAAAAAGGTATCAAGAAGTTGAAAAGACTGATTGATGACCTTCAAGTAACTTACTCATATGGTGATTCCTCGGCCTTTGAACGGGCTTCTTGAAGCGATTGGAAGAAACATGCATTCCAAAAACGTAACGATTGCCATATTGGTTGATTTTTGATATAGGCAAAGATGAATGTACGATCAGTTGACACGGAAGGATCTATTAAATGAATAATTTGATACATTTGAAGGGATATTTTATTTTATTTATTTATTTATTATTTTTTATTACAGCTTGATGCCACACCGTATTTTCAGTACAAGTATGAAATTTTCAGCATGTGATATCGATAGCCCAAATTTTGCAGGCCGACCATAGATATCGGGTGTGAGTCGGCAGGGGATCGAACCGCGGACCATGTGCATGGTCGGTGAGAGTACTAACCACTGTGCCATTTCTGCCTATTCACGCACGACATAGCGCAACGATTTCTCAATGTCTTCTTCTTCTTCTTCGATGAGTGAGTTGCTGCCTCATCTTCAACCTGCTGTATCCTACTGGTCAGGGCTTCCCACTAGAACCCAGCCAGGTCACTCACTGCCTACCTGAATAGGGCCAGTCGCTAGCTAGTGAGCATCAGATTAATTAATTTTCAAGTATTGCTTGTTTTGTAGGGATTTTGTTTGATTGATTGCATGGAGGATTTTTTATCATGAGCTGACATCTGCGTACTGTTGAATAGCCGGTCCCAAACTGGGCTGACGAAACAGCTGGCTGTCCAGTACTCCCTGCAGGTTTCCCAGTGGTTCTCTAATATTGTATGTTTCATCCATTTATGGTTGATCTCACAGTAAACATCTGAGCTTATTGATTTCATTATTAGTGGAATTGGAGTCATACCAGTGTGGACTCTTGTCCCGTACAGGAAGCAAATAAAATGAGAAGCTAAGAGAGAAAACAGATTGCGCCTTATATATTTTGATGTGGTTGTGTTCTCTGAGCTAACTGGATAGTAGTTAATTTGTGAAGCTTTCATCATCGCCCTACTACTGGCAGAAGACATCTTCCTTCAGTGCATACACTTCAATTTCAATTGTTGAAGTGAGCTTTTAGATTTCACCTCCACGAGTGAGTTTATTAATCATCTCTCCTGGTCGGTGACCACCTTGGACGTGATTGCTTGTTTCTGTGTGTTTTCACACCTTCTAGGCGGCTACTTGTATCGATATTGGAACTGAGTGTTTCTTTGACTTGAACTTCAACCCTTTGTGTGTCAGTGTGGGAGGTTTCTTTCTAATCGGTTGATAAATTTTTTCTATCTCAATGTGTCTGTTGTCAACCGAAAGACTTAGTAACGAAAGAAGATAAAACCAACATCTGCATCTACAAAATAAACTGCATCAACAGCGAAAAACACTACATTGGCCAAAGTGGACATCCCTGCTCTTTGTCTTCGTATCCACGAACATAAGCTAGCCGTCAAAAGACATGACATCCATTCCTTCACTCATATCGCCTCACTGCATACAGACAACCACGGACATCAATTCGACTGGGACAACCAACGTTCAAATATTAGACAGAGGAAACAACAAGAATGCTAGTCAGAGAATTTTTAGAAGCCTTTCTGGTATTCCAGTGAATCATCAATCAATAGAGACACATCGAGATAGACTAAATTTATCAACCATTAAGAAGTAAACCTCATAAACACACTCAAATGGTCAAAGTTCAAGTCTGAGGAACAATCAGTTCCAATACAAGTAGCCGCCTAGAAGGTGTGAAAACACACAAAAACAACCAATCACGTCCAAGGTGGTCACCGACCAGGAGGCATGATTAATAACCTCTCTCGTGGAGGAGAAATCTAGAAGCTCACTTCAACAATTGAAATTGAAGTGTATGCACTGAAGGAAGATGTCTCCTGCCAATAGTAGGTCGATGATGAAAGCTTCGCAAATTAATAATAATTTGCTTTATTCTTAAACAGTACTTGTGATACAGGATGGAATTCTCAGCATTTTTACTACAATATTGCATCCAGTTTGTGTACATTGTCAATAAATAGAATTCTACATAGATTAAGGAAATCTCAGTTCATCATGACAACAAGATATTGGCATGTCGGTAACAAAGCCAAAGTTGAAGAATGTTTGAAGGTGTTAGAAAAGTAGGTGCTGTCATATTTACTGGCGTAAGCGGAAGAAAGAAACAAAGCAGCACATAACGGAAAAGAAAGAAAGAAAATGTTGCACCCATAAATGATATGAGTTGGAAAGACGAGTTCCAGTCGTACTACTGACTATTTAATGAATTATAGGTGTCACGCCTAATACTTTCTTTATCGCACAGAACACGAGCTAATTAGGGTATGGTTGAGTTTTTGTAATTGCTGGTGCGAGCATATAGTTTTCTATATATGGACTTCTGGTTTTGCCTGATGAGATGCAAGGGGAGAATTGTGAGTGAAGAGGGTGGTGTGAGTTGGATGAAATGGATTTGGCCCATTTTTCACATGATTACATATGCCTGTCAACCAGAGTATTAACAAGCTGGTTAAGTGACACATTGCTTACCCTGCTGACAACCTTTAACATCCTGCATAATATGTGATAGTATTTCTTCAGTAGCCCTGGGAAAACTAAGGGGGAACAATAGAGAATAATAGGCAGAATGCGAGAGTTAACGAATTGTAGGATTAAGGGTTGAGTTGGGTTATTCCAGAATGTCTTAACTTCTTGATGTAGAAGGTGAGACGGAATATTTTCTTAGAAATCGCCAAGATATGAGACGACCAGGAGAGATCAGCAGATAGAATGACGCCTAGGTATTTAATTTCCGATTTGGTTTCTATTTCCAGTTGGCTCAGAGAAGACAACCACATCAAAATCATACACCATCTGAGCTACAAATCTTTTCCATCATGCCACATATATATATGCATATTTATGACTTACCATAGGTGTAGAACTGCAGTGATATAGTGAGAAACTTTTTCGCTGGTGAAAAATCTTCAGCATTTTGACATTCGACTAACAGCAGTCCAATCTGATCGAGTAATTTCGGTAAGGCTTGCAGGTCTACCAAACCTTGCGTACGACGAGACTAACAACACACCAATCCCAATCGGGAATAAAGATTGTATTGATCATACCGGCAAAAAAGACGAAAAAAAAATCACCAGTTTTAAAAAGAAATTTATGTTACCGAATCATTAAAAATACCAGTTAACACTTTATCATATTTCGTCTTTAATACGTAACTAACCTTTTTACCATTGTATGCATACATTTATTTTGTTTAAACTTGAACTGCCTGTGTAAAAACTATACAATCGCAATTCTCTGAGCACTGTTCACTAATTGTGGAAATCTCTGTCAACTGACATCATGAAGAAAAACATTTGCAAGTATGTTAAAACTTTTCTGTACGCAAACCTCATAATTTATTTATGTTGTAAGCAGCTGACGAGAAGACTACGAAATAAATGATAGTACCATATTATTCTGCACAAACCACTGTTGTTCTTGCTTTATTCAAACTTTATCATTTGAACAAAGAAAGAAGAAGAAACATTATTGGCACGCAGAATAATCTGGATCCATTTTCGATTTCGTCGGTTCTCATCAGCAGCTGATGCGTACAACCTGAATACTTTGATAAAATAACTAATAAAAAATTGTGTACAATTTTAACAAACTTCTGTCCATTAGCAAGCATATTGTCAGAGTGTCATAATGAAATAAGGCGTTGCGATTTACAAAGTGTCTAAAGAGTTACGACATATATATATATATATATACCAGTGTACACCAACCCCCCGCAGACGAAATCAGAAGTCCTGAAGGCAATCAAGATGCTAAAAGCTGGAATAGCAGCAGGACCAGATGGAATCCCAGCAGAAGCATTGAAAATGGACCCAGAGACAACAGCGGACTTGATGACACCACTACTGGAGAAGGTGTGGAAGATGTGGAGAGCAAGGTACCCGAGGGTTGGAAGAAAGGATACATATGCAAACTGTAGACTTAAGTCAATGCAAGAACTGGCGCGGAATCATACTCCTGTCCATCCCAAGCAAAATACTAAGCCGCATCATCCTGGAGAAAATGAAACACGCCAACCTGGATGAAAAACTTCTACCGGAACAGGTTGGATTCAGGAGAAACAAGTCATGTATTGATCAAGTCGCCACATTACGGATTATCATTGAACAAATCCTGCTTGGAATGGCAGTCACCTCTCTATCTCAACTTCATCGACTTTGAAAAGGCCTTTGACAGCGTCGATCGAGAGGTGCTTCGGAAACTACTTCGCTACTATGGGGTGCCACTGACAATTATACATTTCATCCAACAGTTGTACGGCAATGCTGCATTCCAAGTAATCCACAACGGGAAACTTACGGAATCCTTCGAAGAAGTGAGGATAGGAGTAAGACAAGCTGACTGCCTACTATCGCCAATGATTTTCCTGATTGCAGTAGGTTGGATGATGCGACAAACAGCGGGCAATGAGAAAACAGGCATAAAATTGTCCCACAGGAAGAAAGAACCTGGAAGATCGGACTCTGGACTTCGCCGATGATATATGTCTGATTTCCCACAAACTGGAAGATTTGCAAGTGAAAAGCAACAAGTTGGCAGAACAAGCATCCAGAGAAGATAGGACTTCAGGTGAACATAGAGGATTCTTGGGCAACACCAACAGTAACAACAACAGACAACAATCAGACAGCATAAATGCGAGGAACCTGAAAGAAACAACCTCTTTTACATACCGACATGGGAAGCATCGTTTCAACTACAGGCGGACTCAACTGACGAGGATATCAAAGCAAGAATCGGAAAAGCAAGACAAGCTTTCTGTACTCTCAAGTCTGAGTGGAGGTCAACAGCACAAATCAGCATCAAAAATAAGATCCGGATTTTCAACTCCAATGTGAAGTCAGTCAGTGCTACTCACTATACGGATCAGAGACTTGGCTAGCGTGTCATGAAGAACATTTCAAACAAACTACACACCTTCAGTAACAGTTGTCTTCGCTCAATACTTCGCTCAAGATCAGATGGTCTTTCAGAAAAGTTCAGCAACAGGGATCTCTGGCAATGAGCGAACCAACACAGCAGGAACCGATTGTGAAACAAATAGGCAGGAAGAAATGGAGGTGGATTGGATTGGCCATACTCTGAGGGAACAAACCATCAAGTGACATCACTAGACAAGCCATTACTCGAGTGGAGCCCGAAAGGGAAGCGGCGAGTTGGTCATCAGTGTGCGAGGGTGACTTGGAGGAGGTCATGTGAAGAGGAGATGAAAGCATGTGGGCAGACATGGAGCCAGGTGAAGACTCTAGCAGAGAACCGAACCCAATGGAGACGCACGGCTGAAGCCAGCCCTATGTTCCTCTAGGAATTAAAAGAAACATTAATAATAAATATATATATGTATATATACATATACCTTGTTAGAGAGAAGTTTCTTGAAAACAAATTAATTAACAGTTGTGTTGTTAGGGTGATAACAAAAAAACTACTAATAGTTACGTAATTAGATGAAAGAAGATCAAAATCTTGGTGCATGTGAGGTCAGATGAGAAGTTGGTGACGTAATACAGTGAGTAGAACTCAGAAGATCGAGAAAAATTATCTCTGAAGAGAGTCAAGCGAAAAATAAAGGTGGGGTGGGGTGGGGGGGGAGTGAAAAGATAAGTTAACAAAATTAGAAAACATAGAGTTACTAAAACGAAGTGAGTCACCGGGGTAATTGAAGTCCAACAACAACGCATTTTCTTTGGACACACATAAGTCAAGCTTTTATCGTTTTATTGCTATAGCTTCAGCAAACCTGAGAAGACTTGAGGTACTAATTTGTCTGTTAATTATTTTGAATGATTCCAGCACATCTACTCAATGCTGTCCTATGTCAATCAGGTGTTTGAGGGCGGTTGAAGAGCTTGAGCAATTCGGTCCCTTTAACCAGAGGCTCACTCCTAGGTACATGTTCGCAGAATCTGACGTAGGCCCTCGTCTCTCTGTTCTTCCAATGTAACTGCTCGCGCAGATACATGTGAATTGGTATACACAGTTGGAGGTAACATGTGAGGGGTACTTGTCAATCTTTGACTGCACCAGTGAAGAGGTTGTTCGGGATAGAGAGAGTAATAATGCTGCAGGATACGTCCTAGACAGCTCTGCGCTTAATCTTTTTATTTAAGATTCTGATAATGTCGTCACCCTTGTAGTCGAGTTTCATGTAAATAGGATTCTTATTGGCTGTAGCTGTATCAAGCTTTTTGAGAGTTCATTCTTGCCATATTTGTTAATGAAACTTTCTGGGTGACCACTTTCTTTCAAGCATTTTTCAAGAGGCATTAGTTCACTGTCTGTTTCGTTTGGTGAACATATTCTCTTCGCTCTAGAGGAAAGCATTTTCACCAGCGTTTGTTTGCATCTCACTGGGCAGAAGCTGTTGAAATTCAAGTAAAGAACACTCCATGTGTCTTTACGCGATATACAGATCTTTCGAGTATCTCATCGTCATAATTTCTCTCCAACTTTACGTCTAAAAAATGGAATTTTTCATCATCTTCATGTTCCATCGTGAAAGTGATGCTTTTAGGTACATATTGTTGAAAGAGTCGAATAGAGACGAAGCGTCGTGACTCAAATCATTGCTTACAAATGAATGTGTCATTAAAGTATCTATAGTAGACTGTTTTGTTTAGCCAATCGCACACTTGAGCTTTGTATGTTCTATAGACTGGCCATAAAAATATCAGCTAATATTGGACCCAGTAGACTCCGCATTGCCACACCACCAACCTGGTGATATACTTTGTTGTCAAACTGGAATTGTATATCATTAGTACACAACACTTCATCATTTATTTTCGTGATCATGTTTTAAGAAAGTTTCAAGAATATTTCTGCAAACTGACCTGAAAGCGGTTACATGAACAACGGTTCTGTTAACAAAGTTATCATCTTGTCAGGGATTTGAAGTTTATAAGCAAAACACACACACTGTCAGAGTCATAACCCAAGCCGAAACACACCATCTTTATTCAAGTGTTGGTTTGTAGGGATCTGATTGATTGGTTACAGGATTTCATCATGAACTGACATTGGTTAGAGGAACATTGGAATACCAACCAGGGAGTACTGGACAACCAGCTGTTTCATCAGCCTAGTTTGGGACTCTTCATCAGTACGCACCCACCGCCCGTATTCGAACGCAGGACCTTCTGGTTACAAAGCGAGCTAGCTAGTAGACCATTGAGCCACTGAGACCCCCATCCAATGGCCCATGAATTCTAACTTCTGCCAATTCACGACATAGCGCAACCGCTAGCCAATGTCTTCGGTAGCGAGTATTTGTCCTCACACCCGACCTGCTGCGCCCTGTTGGTCACGACTTCTCACTAGAACCCCAGGTAACTACCTACCTGAATAGGACAAGTCGCTAGTGAGCATCTCATCGGTATTCAAGTGTTGGTTTGTAGGGATTTGATTGATTGGTTACAGGATTTTCATCATGAACTGACATTAGTTAGAGAACCATTGGAAAACCTGCAAGCAGTACTGGACGGCTGTTTCGTCCTAGTTTGAGACTCTTCATCAGTATGCACCCACCGGGATTCGAAGCTAGAAATCATGGACCATTGGATCGGGTCCTGGTGGCTGAATGGTATACGAGCTCGCCTTGTAACCAGAAGGTCCTGGGTTCGAACCCCAGTGGGGTGGGTGCGTACTGATGACAAGTCCCAAACTATGACGAAACAGCTGTCCAGTGATCCTTGCCGGTTTTCCAATGGTTCTCTAACTAATGTCAACTCATGATGAAAATCCTGACACCATCTTCATTTAATTATTTTTCTTTGCACTTTGTAATGCCCAGACCAGATGTTTGTGTCAGCCATGATACTCAGACGAGTGTCTTTGAACACCGAATACCATTTCAACAGAAAAAATACTCCGAACACTCTTGGTTATCTTAATTGGTTATTGTTAAACCTGTCATCTGTAGTAAAGAAAAGTGTTTCTCTTCTTTGTTAGAATATAATAATAATAATCTACTTTACTACAAAAACAGCACTACTTATA